ATTGGTGGTAAGTTACTTGTGTTCTCTACTGTGAACACCCGTGCTTTTTAAGAATGGATCCTTGCAGACAACTTAAAAAAGTGACAGTCAAGTGGAAAATGTGAGTCACTCTACGACGCATACCCCAAGCAAAGGCATTCAACCCAAAGCACAGGGGGCAGACATCTTGGTGGAGGATATGAAAAGCATGGCGCCTGTCAGGGAAACAGATCAGAGTGACTTGAGTCTGACGCTAATGTGCAGCACATTGGAGAGGAAGGGGGCCTTAAAGGAGTTTAATGACAGGCAGAGCAGATGGGCACGCTGCTGCTTCATTTCCGCACACAGCGGAGAAACATGCTCCTTGACACACAAGGGAGACGGGCTCTGATAATAGCCAAGCACAGGCGGTGCAGATAACAGGCGTGTTACCCACCCACTCAGGAAACAGACCCTCTATGAGAAAATGGGGGGGTGGTAGTCTAAGTGGTACTTTATATACATCAATTACACCAACTTCTCACCCCCAACCCTCCTGTGTGGCTAACTGGATGTTCAACAAGGCTGTCCAAAACCTATGTCAGGTCCACAGAAGGTTTCATTTAAATGGGAGAGTCTGCTGGACAGTGAGCAACTGTGTGCATCTTTAGTTTTGCACCATGCAGTGGTTTAACAGGCAAAAGAGCTTATGGAAATATTAACTGCACTATTCAGCAAGAATACAAATAGAATATTAAGGAAGAAATGCAGATTGTGCAATTTATTTTAATAAACCTCTAATGGCAAAAAATAAACAAACAGTATTGTGCAAAAGCCATATCAGGGTAGTAAGTGTACATTTGCTAAAAAAAATACACTGGAATATATTCAAATAAACAGTAACACAAAAAAACAAGAATTGTTCTGCTTCTGTTCTGCAAAAAGTTACTGATATCTTGTTCTATGCCTTGAAGAACACTGCTTGGGTTCCTAAACCTCTCTTCACGGGCACCCATGAAGCCATTCCACATATTCCTTAAATTTTACAAAATGCTCACTTCATTATCTTCCATCCATCCATCAATGCCCATCAGCAGGGGCGGCAGTCTTAGACAGATCCCTGAACCACCTCAGCTGACTGCTTTTGATGCGGAGGAGCAAAAGCCTCCCCACCCCCGTATGTCCAAGTTTCTCACCCCATCTATGAGGCTGAGTCTTAACTTCCTGGGGAGGTAGTTTATTTCCATTACTTGTATTCACGATATCATTATTTCAGTCACTATCCAGAGCTGGTGAACATAGGTGAGGGTAGGAATATAGATCAGCCGGTAAATCGATAGCTTTACCTTTTGACTCAGCTCTCTTTTTACTACAACAGACCAGCACAACGTCTGCATAACTGCTGATGCTACACTTAGCCATCTGTTGATCTCCTGCTCCATTCTTCCCTCACTTGTGAACAACAGGGGTGGGAATCAGCAGTAATCGCCAGAATCAACATTATATAGATAATACATTTGCTGATTCGATATGTATCGCTGTTTTTAAACAGATTTTTCTGAAGAGCATTTCAAGTCTATATTTAAAGAAACGACAAGGGCTGCAACATTACACGTATTCATTGCATCTCTTTCAGTTACAGCATTTTCAGGTTGGAACATGCAATGAAACGAATTAATACATTTCTTGACATAAGTGAAAAGAAACCTAAATTCTCTATTATATGTTCAACACAGAAAATATTATGCAAATTGTGTTTTTTAGTTTGTTACAGACATTGCAGAAGAACTGAAAGACCCTCCCACATC